GCCCACGCGCCGCCTCGACTTGCTGGAAAATTCAACTATTTCTAAAAATTACCAAATTTTACAAGAATGAAGATCTCAAAGAGAGGAACAACTTTCATACCTACCACAAAGTCCAAAAGTGGACGGAAGGTGGTCAAATTTTCCCACAAAGCTGGCGGGTGCCTAAAGCTTCCCGGCGTCGATTCGTCATCTATGGTGGTCCAACAAGGTCAAGATTGGTTGGGATTTTCTTCTGGGATGATGGGCTACAAAGCCCAAGTGGTGGCATTGGCCATTGTTTTGCCGATTTGCCGGAAAAATGAAAATGGTGGCTGGAGCACATTTTTGACGCGTCAGATTTCGAGGCTTCGCCCCGCCACATATGGTGGTTAATAAAGGTGGTTCTTGGTTGAGTTTTGTAGAAGGGAATGAGAGCTTCAAGGTGGAGGTGATGGCGTCGAAAAACTCCACCGGAGTTGGTCGGAATCGGCCTTGGAAAATGGAAGGTCAAATTGGGTTGTGTGGGTCGACGAGAAGCTGAGCTTCCCTCTTTTTTTTATTATTATTTTTTTCTTCTTCTTCTTCCCTCATTTCTCATTTGTTGTTTGGTCCTTAGATCCCTTTTATTTGATTGGTCCCTTGTACTCTAATCTAATTTGTCCTCATCCCACAAGGTGGGAATTCAAATAATTTATAACTAAACTTTGAATAACCAAAATCAAATGTCCGTAACTATACCGTTATAATTTGGACTCGCAAACGACTTTCACCTATGCGTTCTTACCAACGAGTACTACGAGCTAAAAGAATAAGTCATACGCCTCTCTAACCGATGGTCAACGAGTCAAAGTCCTTGCCTCTAGGGCATTTTCGTAAATTCATGCTTTTAAAATTAATAAAAATGTAAAATTTGGGACGGGTTGTCACACTTTGTACCCATTTAACCACTTTTCTACATTCCATGGGTCATTTCGCCCAAATCCACATCCACAGGCCTTTTTCGCCCAATTCATACATCCACCGGTCTTTTTGCCCAAATCACACATCCTCGGGCTCTTTTTGCCCATATAACACATCCTCCCTTTCCACGGGCCTTTTTCGCCGAAATTCACATCCATGACATTTTCTACCCAAATCAATATTTCTCACTGGCACAGGTATAATATTATTCTTCCATCTACTTGTCACCATTCCACCATCATTTTAACGTTCAAATTTTTTTTCTTTCATAATACATAACATAATGTCAATCCAATTCACTTCACTTCATGATGATTCTCAACATATATATATATATATATATTTCATGTAACTTTCTCATTACTCAAAGAACTTAGAAATAACGCATTATAAACGCAAATCACAATTCCCATTAACAAAACTTTCATAATTACCAAGGAAATTGCACCACAATCATAATACAATTGATATATGTAACACACACACACACACACACACACACACACATATATATATATGACATGAATGTCACTTTAATCACAAAAATTGTGAATTAATGCAACCACCATGCATAACATAATCCACACCAATAAGAATTCATGAATATTGCATATTGTAAAGTAGGATCATTTGCTCTGATACCATTTGTAACACCCCGCCCCCGAAATATATGTTTTCGGGAGTTAATTATAGTAGGCCCAACTTACCATCATAGTTAATTTATTTCCATTAATCACATTCCTCCAAGTCAATAATTAGAATTCTTACAATCTATCCATATTTTCTTAAATGTCAAAACATATCTTTAAATTAACATTTGAATTCACTATCATTAGTCATCATTCTCCAAATAATTTCCTTCATCCCATGTAATCCAGAACCATTAATCATTTACCAAAACATACAATTTCACTTCCAATTTAGAACATTTTCCTGCTCTTAGATCAAAGTTCCATCTAAATATTAATTCTCAATTATTTAATCTCACTTGTTGTATGGCTGTATCTAACATCTCGTTAGACTGCCTAAGTACCCTAAACGGGGATCAAGCCATTTGTAATTCACATTTCCAAAATTTAAACCAAATCCGAATATATTCATTTAATCCAACATATACCACAATCGTATTAATATTCAACCCACATCAGTTAGGTCTCAAAAGCATAATTAGAATAACGAAATTCGCATAAAAACAAAATATCAGCTCCCTAGCCGTGCGCTGCCGCGGGTGGCGATCCGCTGCCCACGTTCGCCGAAAATTCAACTATTCCTAAAAATTTCCAAAAATTACAGAAATGAAGATCTCAAATAGTAAAGCAAACTTTATACCTGCGACCAAGTCCAATTTAGTCTGGAAAGGCTCCAATTTGCCTCGAACCCGTCGGAAACCTTATAAATGGGTGGCCTCAAACGTCACCTTTGGTGCTCCGCCGCCCCTACCATTGTTTGGGACCTCAAGGGGGGTCTAATGGTGGTGGAGATGAATGTAGTTTGCTTCAGATTTAGTTGATTCGAACACACACCTACCGCATCGCACCGTGCGGCTTCTCTCGATTTAAAGTCCAAATCCCTATATTTTTGAGATGTAATAGGAAGAGGGAAGGTCGCGGAGGGGTTTCCATGTGGTTGTTTGATGTAATTCACTGGAAAAAAGGTGAAAACCCGTCGGAAATTATGTATTGGCGCCGATCGGGTCGGGTCACCAAGACCCGGGTCCCGATGCTCTGGTTCTCTTTTCTCTCCTTTCTCCTCCCGGTTCTCTATTCCCATTGGTCACCTCCTCCAATTCCTTCCTCCTTTTCCTTATTTCTATTCTTTTCTTTTAATCACAACCATCCATCATTTATTTTTCTCTTCAATCACAGCCATACACGTGGCACAACTTATGGCTCCAAATTTCTGGAGCCTTCTAAATAGAAATAAAATTACCAAAATAGCCCTGATTTTAAATGTTAATAACGCTTTTGTTATAACTCCGTTTCATGAATGGTTTGCGCCTACGCGTTTGTGAGATTGGGCTCTATTCAAAGATATAAATTGTGACCTCAAAAGGTCTACGGATTTTAAATAATTAATTCCCAAATTCCAAACTTCATAACAAGTTTAATTTAAGACTAAACTCAATAAATTAATATAAATTCTCGATTCTTTCCACTCCTAATGATGAATATGTAATTCATGTATTTAAAAATTTCAGGGTGTTACATAAAGGAGGGTGAACAACAGGGAGAGAAGGGGAGAAAGAAAAGAATCAGAGGGTAGAAGAAAGGAGGAGGGGGAGGAGTATGGGCACAGAGCTGTCGCCGACCCCAAGCCGGAGTAAGGAACTGACGAGAAGAAGGGTTTCAAAGCTTTAGTGCTTTCTGGGGGAGAGAAGAGGGCATAGCTCAACTGTTGACTGTTATTTTTTATTTTTATTTTATTTTATTTTTATTTTTAACCAAAGATCTAAGTGTTAGAAGATCCGGAGTACGGAGCACCATAGAAAATCCATAATACTTAGGGAGCTTTACATCCAAAATCTTCATCTATCAACAATTTATCAATGAACTCTTCATAATCCATAGTTTAGGGTTTATAAACCCAAGCAAAAAAAAAAAAAAGTTTCTTAAACCCCAAATCTCAATCATCGACCCATAAAGACTATGGGTTTTCTCATTAAAAGGGAATTGTTATTGGCACTCAAAAAATCTCGTTTTACACTCCAAATTTTTTATAATTAGTAAGTACAATACAGTTATGAGGATTGTAAAATGAGATTTTTGGAGTGCTAATAGCAATTCCTATTAAGTACTAGTTTAATGTTTGGCTTCCCTTGTCAAAATTTGTAAATACTATCATACATGCTCATAATTTAAAGTTAGGGTACAATGCTGATCTGAGATTACTATTGGGATTGAACTTGTTAAAGAACTGGCCATCCGGCCATCATCATTACAAAAGGTTTGATTCATACATGTGCATATGCATATCAAGCTTTTTTTTTTTTTTTTTTTTTTTTTTTTTTTCAGATTTCTTTTGTTTAGTGTACTTGTCTAGTCAGAAATTCATTCTACTGTCCAGCTGTTTAGGCATGCAAATTAAGATAGTCCACATGAGCCATCTGACACATTTTTTCCGTATGTGGATTTCTCACCCTTGATCTGAAAAAGTTTCTTTGGACACGTGTCTCCTTGTTCCTCTTGTTTGAAACATTCAGCTATCCCATTAAAAGAGGTTCTAAGGGTTCATTTGTCTCTTGGCTAGGTTATTCACATTTCAAGAGAAGGAGTGCTTTTAGCCTAGAGCTACCTCTTAAGCTTCCAAACCGAAACCTTAGCCACAAAACCATCTCATGCACAAACACCCAGTCACTGCATATTAGGGTTGCATTGTTTTCATGGTTTTACATAATTAAGTTGTTGGTCTATACCTTAAGTTTCATATCCTTCATAAACCAATTTTTTGAATTCATGTTAGGTTCTTCTTCAACTGTTTGACTGGATAACCTAACTGGTCGTTTGAGTTCTCATTTCATAAGCATATCATAACATCATATTATTGATCGTGTTGATCTCGATGCCACAAGATGAAGAGCTCAAGAGGAGCTGTCATCTCTTGAAGACCAAATGACACTAGTACAAAAACATGTTTGCGCGACGAAAACTTGCGCGACGCATTAAATTACGTCGCGCAAAGCGGCTTTGCGCGACGTAGATATACGTACGTCACGCGAAACGGCTTTGCGCGACGTTAGTTTGCGCGACGAAGAACTACGTCGCGTAAAACGGCTTTGGGCGACGTACGTATACCTACGTCGCGCAAAGCCGCTTTGCGCGACGTAATTTAATGAGTCACGCAAAGCCGTTTTGCGCGACGTACGTATACCTACGTCGCGCAAAGCGGCTTTGCGCGACGTAGTTCTTCGTCGCGCAAACTTTTGGCGCCAAACCCTAAGAATTTACCGTTTTTTCCCACCTTTGCGCGACGCATGCCCACCTACGTCGCGCAAAGTTGTTTTGATCTTGAATGAGCTTTTCCTACTATCAACAGTATTTCGCTTTTCAGTATGTGTTGTTTGGGAAAACAAAAGCTTAACAGGAACTGCACGCTATGCTAGTTGCAATACCCATTTGGGAATAGGTAAGTAGAGATTTACTGTTTATTTAATTTTGTTAGAAACGTTTTGACTATCTTTTTTTCTCATTTTTGGGTTCATTGTTCTAGATCAGAGTCGTCGGGATGATTTGGAGTCACTTGGATATGTTCTTCTGTACTTCTTAAGAGGAAGGTATGCCATAAAGTCGAACCACTTTTCTGAATGAGAATTTTATATTTTGAATTATTTTCCACTTCCTCCAGGATTCTTTTTACTTTTATTGGTGAAACCGATGCGTTGGCTATTGCAATTTCATTTTGATGACAAGCACTCTTCGCACAATGTTTTGACCAGATATCTGGGTACTCCTCTACACTATTTTTCGGCCTGGCAGATTAATTGGTTTCTGCATTTAGCTTTCCTTGGCAGGGTCTAAAAGCTGCAACAAAGAAGCAAAAATATGATAAGATTTGTGCGAAGAAGCTATCAACTCCCATTGAGGTATGTGCATCTTGTGGATAGGAGGATCGTGTTTAGAACTCAATCCAACATGGCTGACTTGTTGAATGCATGAGTTCCGATTTTAAGAATTCTTATCAAGAAGTATGCAATTATAAAACAGCTTCCAAATTTTTTTGTTTTTGTTTGTTTTGTTTGTTTGTTTTTTTTTTTTTTTTGCTTTTTCTTTCAGGAGGGGGGGTTTACTAATTTCTTTTGGAAGCTTTCCAGAGATCCATTACAATCGAGCAAGAATTTATGATGCATCCTTTTTCTTTCAGGAGGGGGGGTTTACTCAATCGTTCTAGTCCACAGGATAGCATGTGCTTGTTTCTTAATTCTGTTGGGGGTGTTATAACTATGAAGATAATGTTGTGTACTTTACCGTTCTAGTCTATGCAACTTTGTTATTTAATTCTGTGGTGACCATAGTGGTTGACATTTTGAAACTCTGTGCATAATAATTATGGTTTGCATTTCGACCACCACAAATAAGTTATTTATGGTTGCAAATTATATATTTCAAATGTATACTCATTTTCCCTTCCTTTGTTTGAGAGGTGCAGGTGGCTGAAAATGTGAAGTTGATTTCTCAAATCACAGATGTTTTTAGGACTCTTCAAGATTCCCCAGTAGAGGATATCCGTAATGTAATCCAAAGCAATCTAGCATAACAGTTCAGTATGCTCGGTAACTCTCTATCTCTCTCTGTGTTGTGTGTGCATGCAGTGAATCTGGTTTATACGTGTACACATGTGAAGCAATTTATTTTTTGAATTTTTTTCACTTGTTACTTTTTAATGCCCTTTGTAATCAACTTTTTCACTGTCATTATATACTCTGATTGGTGATGACAGAGGCATGGCTATTGTAATTATCTCATATAAGAGGAGAACTAAAGGAGAACTAAGGAGAACTAAGGACTAAATTAAGGAGATAGATGCGTAAAGTGAAATAAAGGGTGCATAAATCACTCTTTATATTTAAAAATGAAGTCTAAGAGAAATTTAACTACATTTGAGATGTCACATTTGTGTACATAAATCACTTCATTTTTCTTCGCTAAATTAATTTTTGATTAATTTTATCTATTTTTATTTAGGTTTAGTAATTATTGTGATTTAGTTTATTTGTATGCACATATTTTTGTACATCACCTACAAAATTATTTTGTGTTGTACGAAGTTAATACTACTTAACTTCGTACCCTTTTCTCAGGAAAAGCTTAGTTTCCCGTTTGAGAATTAGTTGGATTTCGTGCATGGATGCGAAAGCATGACTGCGGTCCAATTAATTCTTGAATTGTCCCATTTTTTGGACAGTTTGGGAATGCCCTAGTTATGTTTGTAGTTTGCGGTCCACGGATTAGGTTTCGATAGTGGAAATTTTGGTAACATTTCTAATAATGTTCTTTGAGGTACGTTAACGGTGGATATTATGTATCTACGACGTGCACTTGAAGAACTGTAAGGAGATGCTGCCGAAATTAGCCCACGTAGAAATTTAATCCATTGGAATCGTAAAAATTACGGCATAATCAGTAACTGTGCATTCTTGAATGGGATAGGGCCCTGACCGGAGAGGAATAAGGTGACAAGACAATAGTTTTCATGTCCTAATCTGTCTCATAATTTGCTTCAATTGTACTTAATTCCAATTTTTGAATAAAATGAATGAATGCCAGCAATGGTGTAGATTTTCAATGGCATCCAATTTCATATAGTTTAATTAGTTATATCTCCATTTACCTATATATCCTATTTTCATATATTCTTTATTCCAATTTTATATGATCGCTGGATGCAAAACTTTTCTAGATATTATTAGTTGCAGCAGTTAGTTGCATCTCTTAAAGATCTTTACAACTTTTTTTCTCACTGGTTCACGGTGGATTTTGCAGTTACTTCTTGAGCGCGTGGGAAGCACGAAGGGTTATTCCTTGGTGTAACACATTTATAAGGATTCCGTTGTAGACGTTGTTTTGTAATTCTTGTACTTTTATTCGGATTGCAGACACAAAATGGACAAACAATGGATACATAATCATAATAGATGATGTGTTGAGTACTTGGATGGAAATCATGCGATGAATTCATTGAATTCGCAACTAGACACAACCTAGGTTCAACTCATATCTGATGTCCATGTAGGAGGTGTAACAACTCAACGTGGGAGACATTCGAGAATGTTCGATTTCATTTAGTAAGAAATGGGATGTTGGAGACCTATACTACTTGGTATCATCATGGAGAACGATTAGACCAAGCTTCGTCTTCATACGTGACACGAGTGGAAACTGTTGAATCTAATGTGGATCCTAATGAAACAAGTTATGAATATTCTAAATGACGTTTATCCATATGCCCCTCGAGCAACACCAATCAGGAAGGGGGAGAATGGGGAGATGACGACCGTCCAACCATGGATGGAGTGAGGCATTCAAAAAACTACGAAAAACTATTGAAAAATGCCAAGCAAGAATTATATCTCCGGTTTTGCGAGAACTTTTCAGTGCTCACAGCAATTGTGGAGTTGATGCATGGCAAGATCAAGTTTTCGTTTATCAAACAAGTGTTTTGATTACTTTTTGGGAGTTATCAAGAGGATGCTTCCAAAGGAGAATTGTTTTACCTGAAGATCATAAAAGGGCCCAAAAAGTGTTGAAAGGGTCTCGGATTGGGGTATGAAAAAATTCACGCATGTGTAAATAATTTTGTATATTGTGTTCTATAAGGAGAACAAAGCGTTGGAATAAATGCCCTGTCTGCAATGAGCCGAGGTTTAAAATGACATCACAGAATAGAAACAACCAAGATTCCACAAAAAAGTAAATGCGCTATCTTTCCATTGAAGCCTAGATTGCAGCGATTGTACATGTCGATGCGATACTGCATACAACCGACATGAGATGGCATAAAGAAGGACGGGTAAATGACGATGTTATGAGGCATCCTGCAGATGGAGAGGCATGGAGAATTTGATCGGATTTGATCGGATTACTGTCCCTGATTTTGCAGCTGACCTGCGCCGCAACATCAGATTGAGACTTGCCACCGATGGATTTAATCCGTTCGGGGTGTTAAACCTAAAGCACAGCACTTGGCCGGTCGTCGTGTTTCCTTATAATTTGCCACCTTGGAAGTGCATGAAAAAAGAATACATGATGTTGACTCTATTAATTAACGAAGATCCAGGAAAGTCCATTGATGTTTATTTGCGGCGTTGTTGGTTGATGAGCTAAAAGATTTATGGGAAAACGGTGTTCGTACATACGATAAATATACTAGGCAGATGTTCACCATGCGAGCGGCAGTGATGTGGACAATAAACGATTTTCCTGCATATGCAATGGTTTCTGGGTGGATGACTAAGGGTTATTTGGCATGTCCAATATGCAAGGAGAACGTAACATCATCTTGGCATGCAAGAAAAGTTTGTTATCTTGGTCATCGTAGATGGCTCCCTTGGGACAACGAGTGGTGTCAGAACGATAAAGCCTTCGACGGCACAAAAGAGACTCGGCTAAGACCAAGAGAATGGTCCGGAGATGAGATTTTGGATCAGTTAAACCGTTTGGAATTTGGTCATTTCGGCAAAGGGGTCAGTAACCCCAGACCAACTACACATCTGAACTAGACGCACAAGAGTATGTTATTTGAGCTTCCGTACTGGTCAAAGTTAAAATTGAGACACAACCTCGATGTTATGCATATTGAGAAAAATGTGTTTGACACTTTGGTCGGGACAATTCTAGACATTGAAAGAAAAACAAAAGACACGATTGAAGCTCGCCTCGATTTGGAACGAATGGGCGTTAGGTCATCTTTGTGGATGAAGAATGTCGGTGGTACGTTGAAGAAAGGCCATCCTTTTTTTACAGTTAAGCCGAATGGGAAGAAAGAGTTTTTCAACTTTATTTCTTCTGTAAAGTTTCCAGATGGGTATGCTTCCAATATCTCGCATTGTGTGAACGTGAATGGGTGTAAATTTCAAAACATGAAGAGTCATGACTGTCATGACTCCAACGCCATGATTCTCCATGTTGGTATTCGACTCGACACTTATTGCCTCTTGATGTGGTGAAACCAAAATCGTGTTATTGTCGTGAACCAATTATTGTCGAGATCGTTTTTTTTCGCAGTTAACTGTAAGGTGTTTGAGGAAGTCAGATGTTAAACAATTGCAGGACGACATTGTGAACATCTTATGCAAGTTCGAACAGATATTTCCCCCAGCTTTTTTTTACAAGTATGATTCACGTGATGATTCACTTGCCAGCAGATGAGGCATTGCTTGCCGGACCAGTAAACTGTCGATGGATGTATCCAATAGAAAGGTACTTAATTAAGCGTCTATAATATATATATATATACATATTCATTGATCAAAACGAACGCTTTGAATAATTTGTAGCATACCTTTTATTTGTGCAGATATATTGGTGAGTTGAAAAAGTCTGTTCGAAACAAGGCAAAGCCTGAAGGATCACTTGTTGAGGCATGGGTCGCATATGAGTCACTTACTTTTTGTGCAATGTATCTTGAAGATGTTGAGACAGCTTTCAATCGTTCTCAACGCAATAATGACGGTGGTGTCAGAAAAGAGAAACTGTCTGTTTTTGCCCAAATTGCGCGACCATTCGGCGATCCTGTAAAAGAAGAATCGTTTACCAAAAAGGACATGGAGGTAGCGCATTGGTTCATACTCAACAATTGTGATGAGGCTTTGCCATACCTTGAAGAGCATGAACAATTGATGAAGCAGGAACATCCTTCACATTTATATGCCAAGAAGCACCGTGACTTGTTTCCTTCGTGGTTTCACGCACATGTAAGTTGTATGTGGTTTGAATTGAGCATATTTTCCAACTTGTTCATGCCCGTCTTTAAATTTGGTTATACTAACAAGTTAACTTTTTGTATATGTTATATTAGAGGAACAAATTGAAGGAATTGAATTCACCCTCTTACGATGGAGAATTATATAACTTGGCGAGAGGACCGCTTCACGTTGAATTGTTCTTAGGTTGTCATGTCAACGGGATCAAGTTCTTGGGGGCAACACGTGATGACACAGTTGTCTAGTTGTCTACTCAAAATAGTGGTGTCCATGTCCCGGGTGCGGTGACATGAGTGAAGACATTGATTTTTATGGCAAACTAACTAGTGTAGTACAATTGCTTTACAAAGACAGGTGTCAAGTGATACTGTTTATTTAAGTGTCTTTGGTTTGATTTTGATACAAAACCCACATAACCGAACGAGTGTTAAGCGAGACCATGGTTTACTATCAGTAAACACTATGAGACATTGGTACGATGAAGACCCATACATTTTGGCAACAATGGCGAAACAAATATTCTATCTAGACGACCCTAAAGCTGGCAATGGTTGGAAAATTGTTCAAAAGATTGATCGAAGAGGGCTATATGATATTCCAGAACAAGATCATGATGACAATTACGATAACGTCGCTGACCAACAGTTATCATCTTCGATAGAAATTGGTGAAGAAACACTCCGGGATACTAATATTGTCCAAGAACCGTTTGACGTAGTTGGATTTCCTGAATTCGAAATATCAATTGACCTTGGTGATCTACCTGAATACAATGCACCAGAAGAGGCAAACGAAGATGAAGACGAATGGGAATCCGGAAATGATAGTAGTGAGGATAGCGAGAGTTATTATTGTAGTTCGGATGATGATTAATATAAACTTGTAAAGAAAAATCGTGCTTTTTCGTTTATAACCGTCAAAAAGTTTTGTCCCGTTACATAATCTCTGAATGTTTGTTTTTTGCAATATTTTGGCGTCTGCGATCTCAAAGCATATACAAACAAGTTTGACGGTTGGATAGTTGAAATTAGTTTCGTACAATGCGTTTCCCATCAAGTTCAATGGTATATATATTTACTAAGTTGATTTTAATTTATTTATTTTGTACTTATAACACTTAAGAAATTTAATGATATATATGTAAAAAAAAAATTATTGTGGGGTTTATGTAAAATAAATTTGAATTTGAAAGAAGTAAATAGTAATTTTTATAATATTAAAAAAAAAAAAAAAAAACCTTGTGCGAAGTCTTAATGTCGATGCGCAAAACTACTTTGCGCGACCTCAATTTGTATACCTACGTCGCGCCTGATGTGATAATTTTGGCGCTCCAATAGTGAAAAATAGGCGCTTGTTTTCAATTCTCAAGTTTGGCAACCTTTTGAACCCCCAAATCTCGCTCTTCCCGCTCTCTTCCCGTATACCTCTCTCTCCTCTTCACAACCTATAACCCCCAAATCTCGAAGCCGACGCGACATAGGGTCCCAAAATCAAGGTAAAGGTTTCTCATTTTCGAAGGGTTTTTGTTATTTAGGGTATAGGGTCAAATTGCATGTTGATTTCTGAGTACTTTGTCGAAATCTCCAGATAAAATTGGATGTTGGTTCTGATTTGATAGGGTTTCGGATTTGTGAGGGTTTGAGGTTATGTGGGTCTGTTGAGATTACACCAAAAGTCTGCACCGTTCACCGTTTAGGGTGTGAAATTAAAGAACCACATATTCGGGATGGGGCTGAATGAGATTGGCACACGGTCTTGTACTTTTCAGATTAGCTTGTAAATTTCTTATTAAGGTAAAAAATGCTGAAAAGATTGATTATTTTCATGCTGGAGTGTGACTGTTTGGGAGATGGGATAATCGAAATGCTTTTGCAGTTGATTTTAGTATAGATCCACATTTCAGTTTCGGTTGGCCTGGTTTCCCTTTCTCTTCTGGATTTCGGAATCAAACAAAAACTATGAAATTTGATTCTTGATGCACTTTACCGGAGAGGGTTCAGATCTTGGAGGGAATATGAGTTTAGCATTTGCCCAGCATATTCCTTTTCTGCCATCTCTTATTTAGATTTGTGTAATTGGTTGGCTCAAAGATGGTTTACAAGGCAGGGCTCTATATTCATCTTAAGATTGGTCCATATATTTGTTCATAATGGAATTTTGGGAATGATCATTTTCCTCGGCAGTTTTTTGTTTCGTCAATGAATTTCTTTTTGAATGTTTCTATTTTCTTTAGGGGGTTTCCAGTTTGGCTGAAGTTTGTTCCAGGCATTAGCTTCAGAACAAATAATTTGAAAAGTTGACAATTTCAGTCATTTGTCTTAATTAATCAATGATTAGTTTTTTACCTGCCCCAAAAATTTTAATTTTATTTTCGAGCCTTGATTTCATATTAGGCGCCTTATCTTCATTTGGATTGTTCTGTCTCATATTGGAATCTCAACTTCTACCTATGTAAATTCGATTTCAAGTTTTTTAGTTCATCAGCACAAACAAGATCATGAGCATTTTGGTAGCCTGCAGCTCTCAGTTCTTGGTATTTCTTCTTACACATAATCTGGTTGAATTTTTTATTTTGTGGGTTTGGAAATTCAAGTTTTTTTTCTTTCTGCAATTTATATTTGCATTGAAGTTTTGAACTATTGTATTTGGTTGCCATTATGATTACTTATGGACTATTTCGCCATATGTATTTGCTACAAAATGTAAATTTATTTTAAATGAAACATATTGAAGTCCTCTGCGCATTTGCATAAGCTATTGTGTGTTGTTAAAAGAGAGAGGGCATCTAGCATACAACACACATGCCATGGGTGTACAACTAAGTATGCCATGGAAGGATTTCTGGATTTCTTCGATGGCCTCTCCTTCAGACAAACCTCTGCATTTACATAAATTTTTAGATTGCAGGGTCTAACAGCATCAAGCATATAAACCGTTAGTAGCTATAGATTTATTTTTCAAATCATTTTGGAAAGGAAAATTAATGGATGGTAGAAGTAAAACTGAAATTGAAAAACACCGAGGTTAAACATGTACAGTTGAAACTGTACCATTTGTATAATTTTTTGTATAAATTAGGGTCACATGGCTTCACCAACCTCATAGCATTAACATTTTGGCATTTTACAGGCAATAGAACTATGGAAGACAAATATGAGGCATCCTCAGGCATCTGAGGTCGTCAACAAGGACATAATATCGCACTTTGTTCTTCGGCTAGTTTATTGCAGAACGTAAGAACTTGTAACATTTTATTCTCGTAAAAGATTTCCTTATTATATCTTATTTTATGTTGTTAATTTTTATTCTGCATTTTAGAAATTTTCCTTTTGCTTATTTAATTGGCATTGACTTGCATATAGTATTCATGCATGTTAGATGTATTCTGGAAAATCTTGTTCTTTTAGATAGTTGTTGTGAAAAACCTGTATTCTTGTTCTGAAGAATGAGCCCTGCATATGGCTTTTCCAGATTTGTAGGAAGTGTTAACTTTTCACAGGGGATTGAAACTAGAAAACATTGGATGCACATACTTATATATGATATGCATGATTGCTTAACCCACTGCCTCGAGCTATTACGGTATTACCTTAGATGAGAATTTTACTTCAAAAGACTTAAGCAGTGCAGGACCCGACCATTTAAATACTGTACTTTTGAGCAGTTGCATTATAACCCACATATCCCATGTAAAGTTTATTCTAAACTTTTCATGAGGTGGAACAAATCAGTGAAAAAATCTATCATTTTTGCTCACAAAATACACATACTGCCACGGTTTAACTAATTTGATCTTTCTATAGTGATTCTCTTTTAGGGTTTGTTCAGATGCAAGAAAGGATTAGTTTTTATATTATTGTATTATTTATTTGCTCTAATTACTTATATTACTTTGGTTGCTATTTTATTAGTTTCAAATGCAAGAAAGGATTAGTTTCTAATGTTATATTTTTATGGTTCATAAAGTGTATAGATGTCGCAGTTGATTACTCGTCGTCGGAGTGTGTCCAATGCAGCTCCTGCATTATCAGCATCTAGTGCTCCAGGCGTGAGTGCTCCGTTGATTGGGGAGCCTACACCCCTTACGGAGGCTACTCCTACAACGTCCCAGGTGCCCGTATCATCAACGTCATCAGTGTCAGTTGAGCCCCTCAGTGCACGGCGGCCTCACCGGCGCCGCCGCGAGCCGGAGCCTTCTGATCACACTTCCTCGTCTTCCAGAGTCGAGGATGGGGCCTCCCAACCAGGTAGTTTTTTTCTAATTCTCACTATGTTGCTTTTTTTTTTCATTTCAAAACTATTACTTTTATGATTGTGAAAATGTGTTGCGGGTTGTGAATTACTGTTTTAAGGTACTTTTATGATTAGGGGAGGTTTTGCCAAATTTTCTGTACAAATTTAAGCTTAGGGTTTTTACCATTTAAGTTTTTTTTTTTTGGGGCCCAATCGAAGGGCCAATCAGCTTGTACGTACGTATGTGCCTCCTTGATCAAGATTACGTATGATGAGCGACATCGTGGAGCGGTTACCTCACAGCAGCATAACAGCGTCGTTAATTGCTGTGGTTTTATTATTAGGAATTTTTGTCCTTTGCGGTGGGAGAGTTGGGCAAAAATTCCCGAGGAGACGAGGACCCTGGTGCGAGACAATTTGGAGGTGAGTATATTAATTTTTAGCAAAGTCAACATCTTTCTCTGCTTAAACTAGTGCAAGGCCATCATCTTGATTAGTAAAGTCAAGATCTTTCTCTCAATTTCTGTTTGGTTGCTAAGAAAATGTAGGGGGAAAGAGAAATCAGGTGCATTTCATTGTTTTGCACCTGATAGCCGAGTGTTGTTGTGATGAATAATTTGGTCATGTATTTTGCACACTCTTCTTCTGTTCATAATTGGGAGCAGGTGTGGTCATTTAGTTTTGGTTAATTTCAGTGATTTGCGGCACTGTTCTTTGTTGTCTGAATGCTTCCTGGGAAGGAAATTGAAAAATAATTCCGTGAACCATTGTTAAAATAATGATTATGTTGATTAGGTGGAAGGATTACTATCTTATCTGATGCATATTTATGGGTTTTTAGTTTTGGTCTACGTCCTTGCTAAATGATTTATGATAGTGTTTAGGTGAGTATGCATGCCGTCTCTAGTACATTGCTTTGCTTGTGTTGTGCATCAGTTAACCTGATCCATAGTATCCACTGGTTGAGCAGCATCATGATACCTAAACATTATGCCTATACGTGCTGTTTTGTTTTAATCATTAAGTGCTTCTTGGGACTGGCTATACTAATCAAGTAATCGATCTTTTACCGAGCGAGTCCTATGTATGGTTCTTGACTTTGCCTCAATTTGATAGTGAATTGTTTTTAGTTGTTGTCCTGGTTTATTTATTAAAGTGAACTACGAAAGCAGCCTTAAATAGTCGAGTTAAATCCTTTGTTGAGAAATTGTGCTAAGGAAAGGAATTTGATAAATAATTTGAGTGTTAACCTTATGGTTTGAACATTAAAGGTTTGATACTGCTTTCCGAATATAAACATTATATTGTTTGCTTCCTAACAAATTAAGATTCTAGTTATTTTTGTAAACCGACAAACTTTATCAATATCTTATAAACTAGTTGTCAATTATTCTTATACATGGTCATTTTGTTTGTCATTTTGTTTTTCATATTTGTAGGTCATTTTTGAAATGGAGGACATATCCCCTGAGGTCAGTGCCTACTTAGAGGAGACCTTAGCAAGCCGGTACAAAGATTGGAAGAGCGCTATTCACACGCATTTTCAGCTATGGGAATCTCCGGAGATTGCTTGCCTACAGGGTTGCCCACGCGAGTATAAGGAGCGGCGAGAGGATTGGGAGTGGCTCTGCACACATTTTACTTCACCAAAATTTTTGGTATGTACATAATACTTTAATAATAATTTATTGTTTTTGTTATTTGATTTAAGCTTTTTTTAATAATTTCTTTCAAATAGTCGCACTAACATATATATTGTATGTTTAACAGAAGAAATCTGCTGCTGGCAAGAAAGCTCGGGACTCAAAGACACTTCTCCACCATTCTGGTTCGAAGCCCTTTTCGTATAGGGTTAAGGCACGACGTGAGGTAAAAGTATATTAATTTTGAAATTTTATACAATTTATTTTATATTATTGATTAATAAAATTTTCTTAATGATTTTTTTTCTTTAGGAGGGTTCTAAGTTCCCACAGATTGACCTGTTCAAGCATGTTTACGTTCATCCCAACAATGAGAACAGTGACCAGCTTTATGTAAGTATATGTAATTTTTATTTTTCTTATTTGTATGAATCGTTCAAATATTATTTATATTTTGTTATTAAACATTATATGTTTTTTCTTTATTATTACAGGGTGATATGGTGGAAAAGAGCACTGCTATTCTCCAAGAAGCAACATCGCAGCTTCCCCCAGACACCCCGATCGAGGACGTCATTGTACCCAAGGATGCAGATGTTCAGATCGTGACTGAGGTCTTGGATCAGAAGTTCGGTCGTCGTCATGGTAAGGTTGTTCGGTGTACGGGGAAGGCGGGGGTTCGTGAAACGGGTGCCTCTTCTTCCAGATTGTCCATAGGAGAGGTCAATTCCTTGAAGGAGGAAGTGACAACCCTAAGAGGTCAGGTTGCGGCCCAGGGCGACCACATTAGGGCCCAGGACGAGAGGATGAATATGATTGTTCAGGCCTTAGCGATGTCCGGCCTCCAAATCCCGACGATGCCAGCACCTAATGTTGCTCCACCTTCGACTTCCCAGCCATTTTGCCCAGACGATACTGAGTAGCATGATGTATTAAACTTAGAAGACTTGTAGTTTTTTATTTTTTTGTTCGGACAAACGTACATTTTCATATCTTCTATAATTATTTACTTTTTCTTGGTTTATTAATTATTTTTTAGAGTTTAATTATAATATTTATTAAAAATTAAATTAAAAAATATAAATGACAAAAAAAAAAAAAAAAAAATAAAACTTTGCGCGACGCAGTGCCTACCTACGTCGCGCAAAGCTATTTTGCGCGACGCAGGATCTACGTCGCGCAAAGTATCTTTGCGCGACGTAGGTAGGCATTGCGTCGCGCAAAGCTACTTTGCGCGACGATCCTGCGTCGCGCAAAGTAGCTTTGCGAGACGCAATGCCTACCTACGTCGACGGTTCTTGCGCGACGAAGGTTCGTTTGGCTAAGTTTTGGGCGACGTATTTTTGACTTTGCGCGACGACGGTCCTACGTCGCGCAAAGTATTTTTTGTACTAGTGTGAGTTCATCTTGAATAAGACAAGGATATACAAAGGTAAAGCTGCTTCGTAGATTGAGATTTAGGAATTGAGCTTGTGTGGTCTTTGTAAAAACTTTGTTTATAGACTTCCCGGTTTTTTAACCCAGATGTGGGTTTTTCCGGCCAAAAACTTTCTTGTGTTTAATACTTTACAAAACATCCTTTATGACCAAATAACCATTGTTAATGGTAAACATTGTAGGGTTTGCTAGTACTGACACTTTGTTAACCAAGTAAACATAACTCAAGAATTAAGGTTAAAACATAACTGAAGATCACACTGCGTTATTTTAGCATTATAAGTTTGCTTGGTTTATATGCTTGTCAGCACCTAACAATCTGTACTCAGTTGACTAATACGTTTGACTAGTCAATACAGTTAGTTTCAAAGTTTTTATTTCACTCTAAAAATTAGGTTTTTTTTTTTTTGTTGTTGAAAGGAATCGATAGTATTTTCATTAATAAAGACGACAAAACAAGGTCAAACAGAAACCATATTACAGATAGCAACGATCACCCAAGAGGGCATCCAAAATCAGATTGGGAAGGGACCCCAACCATTTACAAAAGTACTAGAACCAAGGCCACATCTAGCGAGACGATGCGCAACACAGTTGGCTTGATGACGACTATGGGTACAGTAACTTTAGTGATCATGGAGAACAGTGCTTTGTATCCTTAATAACTTGCCAATCAGAGATAAATTAACCATAGATCTTTCTGTGCTCCCACAACCTGAAGCAAATCAAGCCCAACAACCAAATTTTGGAATCCCCTAGTCTTTGGCCAGGCGCCCCCCCCCCTCCCCTCTCCTCCCTTCCTTCATCGCCAGGGCCTCTGCTGAGTTCTAAGAGTTTAATTACTAGTAAGAACAACTTGAAACATCCCCACATTTTGCCCATGCAGCTTGAGCACCAAATGAAGTGGTAGTGTATTTTGAGTTTCTAAATTAAATAGTCAAAGTATCTTGTTAGATATTTAAAGTAACAACATGCGAATAATGTTATTGGTGATAAAAATATTGGCTCCATACTTGTCAGGACATAAATATTATCCTTTAAAATGTTCAAACTTGAAACGAATCAAATACAAAGTTTTGATGGATGAGATCATACCAACTCATAAGCACTAGATCCCATCAGATTTTGAAAATAAGAGTTTAGACTAAAGTAGTACTAGGATGAATGAACTCTTGGAAAATCTTTGCATCCCCCTCTTTATTTTATGTTTTCTCACCAAAATAAATTATACAGTCTTGCCTACAAATAAGCTATAAATTGATTTTGTGAATCCATGGTATCTTTCTTTGTTTAACTTCCATGGCACGACCGCAAGCAAGGTTTGCCTTCTTTAATTTCATCATTTTTTTTTTCCGATGAAGACTTCAGGATCAATACGTGGGGCATCTTTCTTCGGGACATCTACAACAACCAGTAAACATATTCATCCAATAAATAAACAATTTAAAATACTAAAAACTGCATCGTATAGACAACATATTATCTTCCGTAACTAAAATTGATATAACAAAAAAATAAAAAGTGAAATAAAATGAGTAATTATATTTCTAGATATACTGCGTTTGTATTGAACCCTACCTATACTGTGGTAAGAATTTCCAACTTACTAAGTTATGAGTATCTGGTGTTAAGATTTTACAAACAAACGATATTACTAATTTAAATTTTATTAAGGAGAGGGGGAGAATTTCATTCCAAAAAACAGTATATTGAAGAAGAATGGCTATCAATTAGAGCATGTTCCAAGTCGTTATAAAAATATAATAACAGTACATTTATAAAGATTAATATATACAAATTTACTCTAATATAAATTCCATACCATAACTTAACAGAAGAGGTGTTGTAGACTTTTTTCTAGATATATTTGAAGTTCTTATTTTTTTTTATCTGTAGTAACTGTTGCATTTTCACAGACAAATATATATATATATATATATATATATATATATATATATATATATATTGTATGCATAGGGTCAGGATCGGGAGACACATAAATTTTGACATACTTTCATAAGGCTCACTCCATAATGTATTTCAACGATCCAACCGTCTATCTTTTAGATCTTTCCTCGAATATATCTTTAGAAAAAATTACTCAAATATGGAATTCTATGATTGCTGGATTAATCATCTATCTTTACAGAATCGTATTCATTCATTTTCTTTCTTACAAATGAATGTTTTAATGGTTATGGATTTGTCTATTTAAAAAAAAAAGATCTATGAATAATAGATTGAAATATAAATTGTTCCGATCATTAAAAAGATTTATGATACATAAATCACAAGAAGGTGTCAAAATGTATGTAAAAAAATTGTGTGTCCCCCAATGCTAACCTATATATGTAGTTATCCAAAAAATGGGGCACTAAAGAGTGTAGTGCTCACTTACATTGTCTAGCGAAGTACAATGCCTGATATTCAGGTTTCTCCCATGGTTTTGGAAAGAACTTCCTTCGAAATTTTTCCTTTAGTTCAGAAGCTTTTTTTGGAGCATTTTGCGCCATCTCAACAGCTTTCTTTGGAGCATTTTGCGCCATCTCAACAGCTCCCTTCTGAACATTTTGCGCCATATTAATTGCTCCCTTTTGAATCTGGTTAACCATCCCATCAGTGTTTTCTTTGCTCGTTGCTGCTGTTGCCACTAATTATATAAGTCACAATTAATTCATAAAAAGCAAGAATTGTCACTTACCACTACGTTGATGTTCTAGTGATATTATCCTGTACTTGTAAGCGGTGTTTTTTAAATTCGACTCCCTTGAAAGGCGAATTGGATATCAAATTAATTATTATAGTTGATTCATTGTATGACTTAGCACAAATCACGTAACCCTTGTGTAAGTGTATCGATGTGTGCGTATATATACTTACATGATACAACAGACTATTTCGAAGCCTAGAAAGTATTGCATAGGAAGAAGTAGTAGAATAACCTGATGAAGTGGTTTTTATTTTGGTCGAACCACCTGAAGTCCACAATCCTTTGCTGGCGGAGGAGCCTGTTTTTCCTACCTCCTTTGGGCTAGTCTCTTCAAAACATGAGGGGACAAACAAAGTCAGTAAAATTCAACAGCTATGAAATCATTTGATAACCATTTCGTTTACACTTTTGGTTTTTACCTTTTTGTTACAAAAGTCTCTTCAAGAAATTAAATTTAAACATGACGATATTCCTAATTTCTTCAAGCTACTTAGTGTAGAATTTCTGATGAGGGCCTCTCTCTTCCCGCTATTGTCATCCCCAACATTGGATTTGGGCATCCCGATAATAGTTCAGTGCTCTCAGTTGTTGTCACTGATAATATGTCGATATGAAACAAGTGACTTGAAGAAATTAAGAATCCCCCTTTCCGTAGTTGAAATGAATTAGTGCAAATTATCCTTATACAATAAAATAATATGTCGATATAAAATAGGCGAAGATCGAGCATTTAAACCCAGAAACCAATGACCTTTTGAGTTACAAACTTATAATATTCCAACATTTTCATAGCATAGCATTATTTATATCAAACATTCAACCTATAAAATGCAGACAAACAGATCATGTATGGACAATTCCTTGTAGTTTCGTTTTATTTGGTTTGATTTCTAATCCGGGTCATTGTTTATTCTTAAGAGGAGAATATTCAAATATTAAATATAGGGATGTACTATCCACACACCCCATTTTACTTCTCACACACCTCTTGATAATTTATGTCCATTGATATTCTTCAATTCATCTGATCCGACGGCCGAAATTTAAAAAGGTGTGTGAGAAGTAAAATGGGGTGTGTGGATATCACACCTCTAAATATGTCTCTGTCCAATTTGGGGGAGGAGGATCCTCTCCGGATCCACTTTATTAATCCATATGATTGATCTCCTATTATAATCCCAATATAGTCTAGTTATCAAATTATAAGTGGTAAAAACTAATTTATACACTACGTTGAATTTCGTATAAATTCGGACAAGTAATCGTCTTCTCTAAACCAATTTAAATTCAAACATTTGGCTAAAATACTCCTAGCTAGACTTATACTCTAACAAATAGAAAAGAGGTAATTTAGGTTGTTAAGTTCAAACTGCATGTCTGGTAAGAAAACATGCATGTTTTTACTTCTAAGTTCAATGAAAATACCTGCAACACGATTAATGAGTCTGCCAAGCATGGTAGGGGTGCCTGAGGCAATTGCGCCGTTTGGGAACTCCACACGCAACCTGTTCGGGTCGTCCTTCTGGTTCTGATTACCCTGCATTATTAATCATATCACAAACAACTCACACAAGCGCAAAGAAATTAAAGACAGATCTCAAGGTTATAGATGTGGCTGAGTTGATTGACGTACGTTTCCCATCGCGATTTTTCTTTCTTTTTTCTTCTTCTTTTCTCGTCACTGGGAGATGATCAGTGGAAAATGAGGAGAGACATGCCCTGTATTTAAAGAAATCTGAGAGCGATTCAGTTTTGATTTATTAATTAACGTCTACACTTGGATCGCATTAGCAAGGAGTGGGTCTTTATTTATTTTGTTCAAGACTAGGTCTAAAGACTTGTGAAATATATAAGCATTATTTGTTAGCACTAACAAGAGTCTTTTTTTTATTGGAAAGACGCACCACGGGTCTTTCTTTTTAAATTTATGAGGAGTGTTGACTCATTACACATTAGCGATAGTTGAGAAGCTTTTTAGCGTAATTGTCACACCATTATTTTCGTCCTAGTTACCTTAATTTGGTTTGTGGGGCCAGACTTTGCATCCTCCATTATTTTGGTGAAACTATAATTTTGTACTTGGATATCAACATGTTTTGAAATTGCAATTTGCCTCTTATATATATATTTTTGGTAAAGCTAGCTTTCTTTACGGATACATGCCACTATCTGTAGAAACTCAACAAGAAAAAAAAGATAAAAAAGGAAAAAAGGTAATCAAATTTGGAGTTCTATATGAAAATATACAACAAATGTGGAAATGTAAGCTTCCATTTATGTGAGCATCTAATATGTGTCGTTTAAATGAACTTGAATCTAATTATTTTGACAAAAAAAAAAGAATCTAGTTATTAGCCAATTCAAGTGAAGCAATTAAGGATCTAACTTGAACAAGCTGATGCTAAACTCAAAGGCATGCCATATTCTGTAGTGACTAAACAAGAGAAAAAGAAAAAAAAAAAAAAAAATCAGATTTTGAGTTATAAATGAAAAAAATATAACAAATCTGGAAATATAATGGTAATATTTTGCAAAACAGTTTATTGTTTTTCATATACAACTAGTGAAAAATGCGTTTGACATATTATTTTGTGACAATTAAGGAGCTAACTTGAATAACTCAAAGGCATGCTATAATCTGTACAAAGTCGACAAGAATAAAAACGAGAAAAAGAAAAAATGGTAATCATAGTTTGAGATGTAAATGAAAATGTATAGAGAAGATAACGAGAGTCTTTGTTTATGGAAAAGCTAACCACCGCGGTGATTGTTTATGGATGAGGAGCATTGACTTTTTAGAAATAATGTTAATATAATATTAGCATACAATTTCATTTCAATACGACATTTATATTATTATTCATGAGTGTTACTATGTTTATCCCATAGTTGTATATCTCCATCCACATAATGTTTATCCCATATAATGTGTAACTTTTATCTATTTATCTGTACAATTAGAAAGACAAAACCATACTTTGGGGTCACAAGGATATTTTTGTAATAGTCCTAAAGACGTGTGAAATAATATAAGCATTATTTGTAGGAATGAGGATCATCTCCGAATTCTTTAATCATATCCGTTCATCGTAAATCGTGTAATCAGTTTTCGTCAGATACTATTTGTGTTTAATTTTAAATAAAAATTTTAAAATAATTTTTGACCGCACGATGTACAATAAATAGATACAATTGAAGGATCCCTGAGATCCTCACAAAGAGGATCCAGGGAGGATCCTCAATCATTTGTTAGCACTAACAAGTGTCTTTGTTTATCGGAAAGACTTTAGGGTCATTGTTTAATTTAGGGCTGGTTCGGTATGGGATACCGAACCGAAAACCCTATCCCGATTCCCAAATCGAAGTTTTCAGGATTCCCAATTTCAAGACCGATCCCAAACCAAATTTTCAGGAATCCCGAAATAGTTTCGGGATTTCGGGACAAATCGGGAGTCGCGAAATAGTTTTGGGTTTTTGGGCTATTGGGCTGAATTTTTTTTACAGAGTTGGGGTATGAATCTGCAAGCTTTATCTAAATCCTATTAAAAAGCAAGATTGAGAAAGATAAGTAGCAGGACTGCAGGAGAAGAAAACGCAAGGAATTGTATGAATTTATAAGTTTATAACACAGTTGGATACAAGACTTTCTGAAGACCTAAATATCTAATCCAAGTTCACATCACTACTAGGTTCTATGCAATTTTTTTTTTCCAAACACGACCACACGAACAGGTACCATATGATGTTACCTGTTATCGCAATTTATAAGGCCAGAAGGGCGCAATTCCACCTTGTTCCAATTGTAAAGCTTGACAAATAATTCATACGAAAAGAGTTCATATTGAAACAAATACAGATAATCAATTCACAAATTATATTGCAGGTGGAATATTTTACACACGTTAATGTTTTGTATATTTTGGTGCAACTGCAGGTTGTGAAAATTTGCCAAAGATTAACACTTCAAAGATGAGAGTACATTTCCAAAAAATCTAAATTTAATGGATTAAACTAAAAATCAACCAACACTTTCCTTTTCCATTATGGAAATTGAATTACTTCAGAGATGAGAGTAAAAATAAACCAATACTTTCCTTTTCCATTATGCAAAATTGCAAATTATGCAGATAATTGAATTACTTCAAAGATTAACACTTTAAAGATGAGAGTACATCTAAACTAAAAATCAATACAGAAATTGAATTACTTCAGACATCTAAACTAAAAATCAACCAAAACTTTTAATAAAATGAAGAACAATGCCTAATCTAAAACAATGCAAATTTTTAATAAAATCAAGAACAATGCCTAATCAAGACTAGATTTCACAAACCCTAATCTAGATTTCACAAATCCTAATATAAATTTCACAAACCCTAAATTAATTCCAAAATTTACCTGATTTAGGGGATAATCGGTGTGCAGGGCAACATAGTCTGGATGAAGAAGTCGAAGGAGAGAGATCAGAGAGGTGAGCGGCGCCGGTGGCCATAGCTCTGCCTCAGTGCCGTGAAGGAAGGCTCCTCCACACAGTCAGGGTCTGAGAGATGAGAAGCCGAGAGATAAAGAGAGATCAGAGGGTCTATGTGATATAGGTGTGGCCAGATTCTGAGGTGAGGTCGAGGAGGGTGGTGAGGTTGTTTAAACGAGGTGAGGTCGAATTGAAGTCGAGAGATGAAGAGAGAGTGACTGAGTTGTGAGCTCTTTGGGGTTTTGATCCTTGTGTTGTATTCAATGGTTGAGATTAAATCTCAACCGAATCCTACAACTATTAAAATTCTGAATATATATTTAAAAATTAAATAATATAATTTTTTTTATTTCGGTTCGGTTTGGGATTACCAAAATCCTGAAAACTTGAGATCAATTCCCATACCGAAATTTCGGGATCGGTTCAGTATTAGGTATCAAATTTTTTGGGATTTTGATGTGAAAATTATGTTGACACACAAATTAACCCTCTTTTTATCAATTGTAGCAATGTATGTAAGTAGGGATCGTTCTAGACCGGGGATTAGGAGGGATTGCAAAATCACTTGGACATGACTCAAAAACGTAAAAACAAGTTTTAAACACTAAAATAGACTCAAAGAATGCAAAACTAAACTTTAAAACACCAAAACAAACCAAAAGACTCAAAACAGCACCAAAACACTCAAAACTGCCTTAAAAACACAATCTGGGCAGTTTTGGACACTAAGCACCAAATTGGACGAAATTGGGTTTTAACTTGAATCAAAACACTTAAAAACACAAAGTAAAACACTTACTAACTAATTTGACACTTTAAAACAAAGGGGGATTGGTTTTGGCCGAATTTAAAAACAAAACAAACTTTGTAAATTAGAACAGATTGTAAAAAACGAATTTGATTTAAATGGGTGAATGGAAGGCTAGCTAAGGGGTTCATCTCCACACATGTTATACTTGCATACGAAACGATTTCCAATTGCTTTTCAACAAACCATGAATTCTCAATGCCCCAAGTTAATTAGGGCCGCTTAAATTAACCTTTAGATTTTCCTAACGTTATTGAATTGGATGATTGCATACGACAACCCAAAACATTCCCCACAAGTCCCCTACATGATTGCATAATAGAGATACAAGCAAGAATCATTAAGTTCTATGAAAACCATAAGCATTGACGAAGCACTTGTTACTATGATTGCATGAAACTTATGCCAAGAATTTACTTAACGCGATTGAGATCATCAACCTTTACTACTTGTGAATATAATTCCATAACGATTAGGTGAAATTTCCTTATATCCTAGCATTCAATTTATGCATGATAATTAAGCGTGCACTCTCAACCAACACACACAAATCAATGTAATCCACATAGATAAGTAAATTGAATTCACAACTTATGAAACGCAATTAGAAGTATCAAATCATAACGCAAGCATAAACATGTATTTCGAATCCCCCCCTAGCCAAGGGGGGGTTTAGTTCCTCATACGCACAAAACAAAGAGAATTGAATTTAAACATTGAAATCAAAGGAAAAGAAACACCTAGAAATTCCAGCGACACGAACTTGAATTGCATGAACTTCCGAGCTTCCTTCTCCTCCTCCTTGGTGCGGCAAAGGACTTTGGACAGGTTCTTTGGGGTTATGGATGGTGGAGAAGGGTTATGGATGGATGTAGTAGTGTTTAGGGGAAGGGAATGGTGCGGCAAAGGTGTGGAGAGAGTTTGGACGAATTTCTGGAGTGATTTATGAATTGTGGTGAGTGGTGATTTGATTTAGGGGTTAATAGGAGTATATATAGGCACTTAAAACCCTAGGGTAATCAGATATGGACTTGGATAACCCAAATCCACAAGGAAATAGGTCTAAACAATCAGATTTTGCAAGGGAAAAGGGGTCCTAGGTGCGGCAGGGATAGGATAAGGTGATAAGGTTTCTAGAATGCCTTGCAAGGCAAGGAACTAGGCATCTAGAAGCTAGGGTGCGGCACCAATGTAGGGATTTAAGGATAGGGCTTCTAGAAAGCCCCAAAACTGATAGGAATTGCATGAAACCCACGGCAAGGATGTAAACTTTCTAGAAACTTCTCATTTGTGTCCTACAACACTTTGGAGTCCTTCTAGCATTAGGAAAACATGTCTCAATCCTCCCTTGACTTGGAATTCTTCTCCTTCTTCATCTTGGATTCCTTTTCCTTCTTGGATTTGGAAAACTTCTTTGTTGCTGAAACTTGATGCCATTTGGATTTAACTTTCCTACTTCAAGTAGGAAACCCTGTTTGAGTAGGAATCTTCATCTTCAAGGAATCCTAATTCAACTAGAAAACCCATCTTGACTAGGAATCCTAATTCAACTAGGATTCCATCTTCACTTAGGCGCTTTCCTACTTCGACTAGGAAACCTTGTT